ATAAAATTTATATAATTTTTGTATATAACATACAGAATATATATATATACAAAAAATATATATTTTTTCTGCTATTATTTTGAGAGCGACCATACAGTATTATTTTTCCATTAATTAATTAATTAGTTAATTTACTAGTCAATTGTAAGTGGTTATTTAAATAACCAGAGTATAACATATTTCAGTCAATGCAAAAAAATTAATCACTTTCAAAATATTTAATCTATTATTTTGGTTATTTTATTAATCTGTTGGGATAATAAAATCATTTGATATGGTGTATAAGATAATGGGAAAATTGAGGCTTTTTATGTGCTTTATATGCTGAATTCAAACTAAAACTTTCTGAGCTTCAAAATATTCAAAATCGACGGCAATTTTTGTTGTTACATTGTGCTGTTCCCCATTTGCTCCACTGAGTTAATCCCCAGGCACTTTTTCCCCAATTTCAATAGTATATTTTCCCTTTATTGGGACAATCCCTGTGCACTACTTTCTGATATGTAAATTTTATTTAAAATTTCTATGAGAATATAATATAGTGGATTCTTTGGCTTATTATTAGTCTATGGGACCAGTTTCACTAGACCTTGGCAGTTGCTATCCATTTTAGACTTGAAAACAGCGACATTCTCCCTTTTTTTTTATTATTATTATTATTTTTTTTTTAATAAGTATTATTACTTTTAGCCCGCGCCAGAAACTATTTACATTTGATAGCCAAAAGTGTATAAAATTTGTATAACTTTTGTATATAACATACAGAATGTATATATGCAAAAAATATACAAATTTTATGTATTTTTTCGGCTATTACTTTTACGATGGCTGTATGTCATTTTTCCTTTTTTTTTTTTTTATAACCATAGTGTCCTGATCAACTTGGTTATACCTCGATTAATTTGCACGGTACCTGTCATTAAGGTTTGGACATATGAGAAAAAATTACCTAATGTTTTTGCCTTCATCATAATTTGAACCTGAGTCCTCATGGTTCTCAACCAACTTCATTGACTACTAAACTACACTCTTTAGTGCATTCACTTATAATTTTCTTTGCTAGAAAAATAGTGACTTTCTCTTATATTTTTATTTTCCCCATTTCACTTGCAACAGTAAAAATGAAAATTATCAATTAGTGCATAATTAGAAAACAATGTAGAAGCTCAATTTTACAGCTAGTTAGAAGGTTAAAATAGCATGGGCTAGCCAGTTTTCGGACTAGTCATTCAAAATAGCCAGCATTTGCAAAGTCATTGCAAAATAGCCACTATTTTGCTGCAACACGGAAAGTTCCAACATAATATACTAGAGATCGGTACACCTGTGTATGAACTTCTAACATATTATGCTGGAACTCCAACACGCGAAAAGTTCCAGTATAATATACTGGAGTTATACTAGAACTCAAGTATATTATACTGGAATTTCAGTATATTATACTGGAGTATTTTTCTGGATTTTGAACAGTATTTTTGTTCAGTATTTTTACATAAAAAGTGGCTAAATTTTAATTACTTTCGAAATTGTGGCTATTTTTGAATGACCACCTGTAAATCTGGTTATTTTTGAATTTCTCCCAGTTAAAAAAGTGTGGTAAAATGGTGACATATGAAGCAAATAAATTAATTTTTTGACTTTTATAGGTGGGAAATAGAATTTGGTGACGATTTCTTGAACATTTTTTTTAATTGCATAAAGAGACAAGGAACAGCCGGACCGGGAAAGGTGGACAATGAGAGTTGAAGCGACACCTATTTGTATAACAAACTCCCGCCACAACACTAGTGTATGTGTAAGGACTTAATAAAATCACTTATTAATGGATCACGAATTAGTCCATTAGTAAAATAGGTACTTGTACTTATTTTTGGTGCCAAAGAAATAGGGAAAATACCAGCTATATCTATTTATAAGTAGCTTATTACAAAAATTGATTAATTCATAAAATATTACTAATATTAGCCAATTAGCTATTTGTAGCAAAAAATATCAAATTTTTGCTTTCTTTTGAGTGGGTGTTATTAGAATAGATTGGGTACATTTTAAGGTGCTTGAATCTCAATTTTGGGGTGATTTGATGACGTTTTGAGATAGTTTGAATTGAAAATTCGAAGTAGAAGATGAACATGAAAAAAATGATAGGTATATCACACTGTGTATCACATATGTATCAAATGTGTATTACATGTATATCCATGTATGCCTGAATGTGAGATACATGCATGATATAGGTGTCGCAGAAAATTTTTTTGAACTCGACTTTAACGACGAATTTTGATATCAATCAGTCCAAATCACCTCAAATTTTCCTTAAATTTAGTATATTGATTCGTCTAAATGTTTTCAATGAATCTCAACCATACCCATTGAAAAAAGTCCCTTTTTGCTTAGATTTTTGGAATCTTATATATATTTTATCACTTTATTTGCTACCTCATCCGTGAAATTTCCTTTTCGTCTTGCATCAAATGTTGCTAATCACGCTTGAAAATACAAGATCCGTGTATGATTCTTGGAGAGAAACCTTATTTCTTTGGATTTTTAATTTTTATATGTGCTTGACTAATTTTGGTAAGTCTATAATTAATTGCTAGAGGTCGGTAAGTTGAGAATTTTCTTTTTAAACATTTCTGTAAGATTCCCAAAGAAATATTATACTACTTAATATGAATTAGCACAAATTTGGGTGCTTATATGAGCACTTATAGTTATATTAATATTACATGATGTAATACGTCTACCTGAGACGAAGAAAGAACTGCAAAATGTTAATACTAGTAATTAAGGGTAAATTTTAAAAATAGCCAGATTTACAACTGGTCGTTCAAAAATAGCCCAATTTCAAAAGTAATCGAAATTTAGCCACTTTTTATATAAAGATAAATCTGAGCGAAAACACTGTTCAAAACCCGAAAAATACTCCAGTATATTATGCTGGAGTTCCAGCATAAGTATACTTGAACTCCAGCATATTATACTGGAGTTCCAGAATAAGTATGCTGGAACTCCAGCATAATATGATGGAGTTCAAGCATAAGTACACTAGAACTCCAGCATAATATACTGGAGTTCCAGCAAGTATATTGGTCAAATATAATATACTGGAGTTTGGAGCACCGGTGCTCCAGTCTCCAGTATATTATACTGGAGCCAGCAAAGTATACCGGTCCAGCATAATATGCTGAAGTTCATACACAAGTGCACCGAACTCCAATATATTATGCTGGACCGGTCTCTATTGCAGCAAAATAGTGGCTATTTTTCATTGACTTGGTAAACGCCGGCTATTTTTGATTGACCAGTCCGAAAACAGGCTATACCGTAAAATTTAGCATCCGGCACCCATGCTTTGCCAGTTGGTTTACTACTTAAAACATAGAAACACTTTGAGTCGAGGATCTATCGGTAACAGCCTCTCTATCTCTATAAGGCAGGGGTACAATCTGCGTACACACTACTTTCCCCGGACCCCATATATAAAAATACTATGAATTTGTTATTGTTGTTTTGTATCATTGACATAAGAACTTGAAAGAAAATCCCCAGGCATTTTTTTCACTATTTCAATAGTATATTTTCCCTTTATTGGGATAATCCCTGTGCACTACTTTCTGATATCTGAATTTTATTTAAATTTTTATGAGAATATAATATAGTGGATTCTTTGGCTTATTATTAGTCTATCTATAGGACCAGTTTCACTAGACCTTGGAAGTTGCTATCCATTTTAGACTTGAAAATAGTGATATTCTACTTTGTTTTTTTCGATAGTGTCCTGACCAGCTTGATTATACCTCGATTAATTTGCACGGTACCTGCCTTTAAGGTTTAAACAGATGAGAAAAAATTATTTAATGTTTTTGCTTCCGTCGAGATCCAAGGTTGAGACCTCATAGTTCTCAACCTGCTTCATTGACGACTAAGCCACACTCGTGAGTGCATCCTCTTATTATTTTCTTTGGTAAGAAAAAAAAAGACTTTTAAACTTGTGGTGTAAAATGAGGCACATATATTTTGTGAGATTATAAATTAGCATATAAAAGTAAATTATTTTCAAATATGAAAAAGGGTTATTCTTTTTAAAAAAGAAATAAGTTCACATACAGAGGGAGAGTAACATTTTTGTCTCCGCAAGATCGAACGGGCCGTCGCATGGTTCTCAACCTAACTTCATTGACTACTAAGCCATACCCTTTAAGTGACTTTCTCAACAAAGGGTCATGGTTCTCTTATAATTTTCTTTGCTGGGAAAATAGTGACTCTCTTATATTTTTATTTTCCGCATCATAATTGCAACAGTAAAAATGAGAATTATCAATTAGTGCATAATCAGAAAACAATATAGAAGCTCAATTTTACAGCAAGTGAAAAAGTACGGAAAAATGGTGACATATGAAGCAAATAAATTAATTTTTTGACTTCAATTGGTGGGAATTTGAATTAGGTGACGATTTTTTGAACATTTTTTAAATTGCATAAGGAGATAAGGAACGGCGGACCGCGGAAGGTGGACAATGAGAGTTGAATCGACACCTATGGCCAGACGGGGGAAGGTGGACAATGAGAGTTGAACCGACACCTATTGTATAAAAAAACTCCCGGCACAACACTAGTGTATGTGTAAGGACTTAATAAAATCACTTATTAATGGATCAAGAATTAGTCCATTAGTTAATAGGTACTTACATTTATTTTTGGTGCCAAATAAATATTGTATTATTTAATATATGAATTAGCACAAATTTGGGTGCTTAAATATTACATGATGTAATACTAGGTTGGTTTGCCAAGTTGGTTTACTACTTAAACTTTATAATGCACATAGAAACACTTCACTTTGAGCCGAGGGTCTATCGAAAACCACCTCTCTATCTCTATAAGATAGGGATAAGATCTGCATACACACTACCCTCCCGGCCCCCTATGGGAATAAACTGGATTTGTTGTTGTTTTGTATCATTGACATAAGAACTTGAAAGATAAGTGCACATTAGCAATTGAAGAAAGTAAACTGGAAGTTGTAATGATTCAGATTAGTCATTTAGTATATCCTCAACAGAGCTATAGTTTGTAAAATTCTTATACACTGGCCTCATTGGTAGAAAGGAAAATCCCATTTTCAGGACCAACAACTCCAGCAACATCATCTATGTCAAAGATAAAGTTCTTTCTTTTCTGTTTTCTCACCTATCAGTTTATTTTGTGCTATCACAGTGAACAATCACCGCCAATTTTTGCCGGTTGGACTATGTTTTCTTAGGAGAAACTGATTAAAACACCTTGGCTCTCAAGGCTAGAGTGTAAACAACACGATGTTGAGAGATTGTTGTGGGGATTTCGTGGTTTTGAATCCTCACAATATGGTGCACCGGTTCAGGCCAACAGATGTGAAAAGCTTTCTCAACTGGGACAAAATACCTGAGCGAGGTGGAGGCGCTGTTGTCTGATGAGTTCTCTCTTCATGGCCGTCTAAATTGTCAAGATCGTCTTTCTCAAGATTTTCACCTATAGCATCATCCCCTCCGTCATTAGTCCCGACTTCTGCAATCTCACCAGGTCTTTTGTCAAACAGCCCCTTAAATTGCTTACGAACCCTCCTCTCGACTTCCTGCTTGTCCAAATGATTGGGAATTATAGTCAAAAAACTTAAAATGGATAAAAGGTTTATGCACAGTAGAACTACTAACCTGTTCCTCCTTTTTCAGTTTCAAAAGTGCTGCCTTAGTACTCGCCTTGGATGACTTGTCGATGCTCATCATCTACAAGCATTGCACGTGTAACTTAGAATGTCTCAGCATCCAATTAAGCATAATATTTAACTCAAGCCAGGAGTGCTTAACTACTCTAAATGTGGCACTGAACCCCTTTTGTCTTTGATCTATTCAGCATCTAAACTTCGAAAAATGACCTCATTAAAAGTTCTTACAATAACATTCAAAAGTGAGACACATCATTCGGTATTTGCTAGTCATTTCGGCCGACCTTGATGACAAAGACTAAATGGATGATGTTCATGTTACTCGGTATTTGTTAGTCATTGCACCCAACATTGATGATAGAGACTTGAGGGGAGTGACGTTCCGTGTTACTTATTCCAAAACCTCCGAAAAGACTTCTGAAATCTGTATTTTAAGACTATCTAATTAACACTCTTGTCATTGTTTACGGCATTTCTCACAAATGACTGTGGAAGCCTGGACGGACCTAGACCATCTGAAGTTTAGGAACTATAATTTTCTGTTCGTAAAATTCCAAATGCCCCAGTACCTTTTGCCTAATAGCCTAAATACAAGAAGAAGAAACTACCTTATTAAAATCAGCTCTTGCTTCTTCGAAATCTCCAGAAGCCATGTAGGCCATTCCACGTCGATAGAGAGCTTTCACGTGAACAGGATTTGCATCTAACACCTACACAATACCATCAGAAACAAGTCTAGCTAGATTCGAAAAGAGAGGCCTGCATATATGCCAGATAGCACAAAGTTCGAGGGTCACCTTATTGCACGCCTCAATTGACTTCTTATACTCTCCCAGTTTCAGAAAGCAGGCAGCAACATTAAGATGCAACAAATTCTTTGTACATTCACAAGGGAAAAATTGACAGAAAGGAAATAATCAATCGTTTTGATTGTAATGAAAGCAAAATTTTCCTCTTTTTTCAAAAAACTAATAATAATACAGTCAAGCCTCTCTATAACAGCATCGTTTGTTCCGATATTTTTTGGCTACTATAAGGACATATATTGTAACATAATATAAACATCAATTCCAAGAAATACTTGGCTGCTGTTATAGAGAAGTCTGACTGTAAAATCCTTTTTTCGATAAGTTAAAATAATAATAATATAATCTGTTCTGCGAACAAAATTACCCTAGTGTTCGAAAATTCCTTTCCCTCCTCGTCATCTTGAGGATGAACATGATTAAACTCGCGAAGCACCTGTAAGAAAAATTCAAGTTCAAAATTCATCCCTTAAGTTTAGAATTCCTCATCGATCCAAATAGAAATGCCGCATAAAATGGAGTATCTAACTTTATAGGACCCTTGTTTCTCATAAATGTGAAGTAATTTGAGGAATCAATAGCTAGCAACGTCTTTAATTTCAGATAGATATTTATAAGAAGGCAAATTCCAAGGTTCTTGATTGCTTTGAAATATAGATCAAAACGCAATGGAATGGAGGAGGAATCAATCAGCAGTCTAAAACAGGCCATCCTTAAGTAACAAAACTCTGGCGATTATAATTAATAAAAAACAAATAACTTAAAAACTTATTTAGTAGCAACAAACAGTTCATTAGAGATCTTTTGCTTGCCCAAGGTATATGTAGTAAATTAGATCACGATTCTAACAGTACAAAAAACCAACATTAAGTCACATTATTAAGCCCTCCTAGAAATGACAATAGAATGTAATAGAGCTCCAATTTCAACTAGTAAAAAAGAACAATCAATATGAACACTGATCCCAACTGAAGTTAATCCGGAAGTTGTAGGGAAAAACACCAAAAGGGAAGAAAGAAAGGAAAAAGAACAAGAAAAAAGAAGAGAGCACTTGCCTTCTCATACTTTGCTTTCGCTAGTTCAAATTTCTCTTCCTTGAAAAGCCTGTTACCCTGAAAAGGAACATGTCGCAGCAAATGACTTCCCTTAGAATGGCATACCAGCGCTGTATTAGCCAACTTATATCCAGGTATGACAGACTAAACTGGGAACTAGACTACGGCGTTTCCAACTACAAAAGCAAACTTTCTTAAAGGATCAAATATATCCAGATTACAGATTAACAGTTGAGGCCCTAAACCTAGTCCAACCATCCAGATTAATATTAGGACAAAGCACCCGTTTATTAAACGGATGCATATACCAACCATATTCCAAGCTATAGACATGTATCTACCGTGGAAACTCAATAATCATTTTAAAAGCAGCAGAATATCTGTATTAATCAAAGTTTCTTGATACATACCGTGCCTTTGATCTTCTCTACATCTTCCATAATTTCTCTGAAACTGAAACCAGTCCAGTCCTGCAATTTGGCACGGAGAGCACAAGCATTCAGTCCTATGAATCAGCAGTGCATGCAGATTCTTTCCCTTCTCTCACCCTATCATATTACTATCTTTTACATCGCCATTATTGATAATTTTACCTTCGCTGTGTTAAAGTCAAGAAGCTCAATTTCCCACTGCACGCAAGCACCTTCAGGAACATTAGCTGGCCTGAGCACATGAAAAATGAATTATAAAATGCTACGATTAGTGGGGAGTTCTCATCAGAAAAGACGTGTTCGTGATGATCAGATTTCAAATCGAGAGCACCAAGAAAAGGCAAAAGTACAAGCCCAAGTTTTCTACCTCCTAACCTTTCAAATTTGTCATAAGCATAATCAGGTGGGCATGTTACGAGAGCTATCTCTCCAGGCAACATCAAACGAACACACATTTCAAACCCTTGAGGTACCTAGATGTTGAAAATAAAGAACTTAGTCATACACACTGAAAGAATTAAAATCAAAAGAATGTTTAACTCCTACATACAGTATCCTTGTAAGCAAGCTATACTGACAATGGTGGAATAAAAAGACAAAAAAAAAAAAAAAGGAATAGATCATGTTATGAGGTCAAATGACTTACAAGCCCTTCTCCAGAGCTGAACTCCAAAGGCTGACCATTGTTGTCAAATCTTGTATCATAGAATACCGTCTTTTCTTCATTAAGAAGCAATCCTTTGTAGTGTACACGCAGTAGACTGTCTTGCAGAGGGCAATCCATAGGAAATTCACCTAATCATTTCATAGAAGTGAGAAAGCTTTTTTCAGTTAATATTAACCTTATTGTAGATAATCAACAGGTGTACATGGCATTGAAATCAAAAGAACATGTAACACCTCCATCAAATAGGAACATCTTAAATACAAGGGTGAAGAAAGCACCAAACTGCCGATTCCATACAGAAACCAAGCAAAACAATTATCATTTCTTACCATGACTGCAGTTAATAACCTTAACAATGTCTCATTTAAGAAACAACCTTGGTGCCTAAATAAGATCGTTGAAACCTAGATTAGTCATAGCCCTTTTGTCCGTCAGTAAGAGTGGGCCACTACTTAAGGAGTCATAGGATAGATTAGCGGCCATCAGACACTAGTAGACAAGTTATAATGAGTGTCATGCAATATAATCTGAAAAAAGATGGACCAAAAAGAGTGGGAAAACTGCTGCTGGGTTTTGTAATTTAGCATCCAAGTGTTTGCACCTCACTGGACATCCTCCTCCTAATCTTTGTAAGCTAAGTATAATTCAAGTTTTTGAACGAACGAATGCAGAAAGTGAGAATGACCCTTACACTATCCACACAACTGGGGGTGGGTTCTTAATACATACTTGTTGTCTAAGAGATTTGAAAAATATGAGGTTATGTCAGATTCAATTGTATTTACCCCAAAGGGAACAAATAAGCAAATCACGTAAGCAAAATAAATGAGCTATAGCTCAAAATAGTCAATCATAAATACTGCAGTTTAATAGTTGAGAAAGATAACCAAGAATTTATGAAAATGAAGTTAATTTAGGGAAGTAAATACCGTGTGAAACAAGGGAATAAGATGAATCACCATATGGACAACAAATAGAGTAGAATGTAGGACCCAGATAAGCTGTTTAAATCTGATATAAATAGTATTAAAAACCAAAAAAAGAATAATACAATTGTCCTTATGCCATTCAGATATATTAGACAGTACTTGACAGATCATAGTGATGAGGTGTGTAAAAGAGGTAACAATACACGAGCTCAAAGTTGTGCGTGGAACTTAAGTCTCAAAAGTACCTCTTCCATCACGAATTCGGCGTTTTATGAGGCGTCCATCTCCGAGCACATCTCGCACCTGCGTCACTAATACCCGCATTTAGATTTTCAAAGCAAAAAAGCAGTAAAAGATAAATCGAGCAGACTTCTTCCTTGCCCATAAAATGTAAATCGCATTGAAGTTAAAAGTCTGCACCACTTTTCCAAATCAATAAGCAAATGCATAAAACACAATCAACCAAACAAATCATGCCTCAATCCCAATCAGTTCGACTCAGCCATACAAATCTCATATATTCATTCTCGCTTTATTCAGACCTGTTTCGTTCAAACACTAAGTAATTTGTTTCTTACAGCAATTAGGAGTTCATTAATACTATATGTTCCCTAGATCACTCGCTTATCCTTAGACAAATTCCAACTAGAATGAAAAAGACGCCTGATTAACGCCAGATCTAATGTAAGTGTAATAATAACAACTAAGTCTTAATTCCAACTAGTTGACATCACATATATGGATCCTTTGCTTCCATTGTATTTTTTCTCTGGTTAACTTTACCCCCAAGAGGCCCAAAAATCTGAAACAAATATGAGAAACCAAATTTACACTAATTTGTGCTCCATGGAACCTACACACCACACCAGTGCTTTGAAGAAACAAGTTCCTTTCTTTGGCCTCAAGCATATTAGTCAACATTGGAGACACATAGACGTTTATGTTTACACTTGTGGTTATCCTTGCACACATCCTTATGAAAGTGGAATTCAAGCATGAGATTATAAAATAATAGTAAAGTGGTTACAATTATAATGAAATACTTCGTACCAATAGAGAGATTATATCAAGCACAAGACAAAAGATCATGATTACATTCAGAGGAATACACCAAATTATAGTGGTAAGGCTGAACAAACACCAAATTGAAAGATTGAACTCATTAAACATGTAACTGCGAGTTACTAAGTGAAATGGGAATATCATTGAAGACCTATGTTACACTGACTTGAGTATTGGTATGTATCACAGTATCAGGCTATAGGTTACAGGTGTGTATACAACACCTACACGTTCAAATATTAGGAAGTCTTAGTGTAGCTTTAAGGATCTGTCAAGTACCCATACCCATGTGATAATCTGCTCAAAACGGGTAGGTATTTCATTTATAATATAGTGAATGAAAGTTGAAGATGAAGAACACAAAAAATATAGATAAAAGAATATGTTGTGCGATAGAAAGAAGCACCTTTGGAATAATCAAGATATACAGCGTCTACCTGAACAAAATGGACAAGTTCAACCTCGAAATGGACTTCGTCAACACCTTCTACCACAGGCATTAGAGGTGATTCTGTATAATATTGACTTTTAACGTAAATCACTGCTTTCTCTCCACGTGACATGGTCCCCGTTCCCAGTTCGAGACCTTTGGGTACCTAAAGTTGGTGAAAATAGAACCCAAGATTAGATAATAGATAGTTAGATACACATTTGCGGTCAATATAAAAGGAGAATTCAAACCCTGGACAGCAAGATTAAGGAGTTTGGCATCTGAACTCACTTTAAAATGAAACTACTATACTAGTATTAGATAGTAGCTTTTTCATTAAATAGGGGAAAAAGTGAATAGACAAGGGATAATCTAGTGTACTAAATACTGGAGCAAGAATCAGCGATCAAGAAGGTATAGCAAAAGTTCACAAGGTATTAGCGAACCTCAGATTTACCAAATGTGAAGAAATATGGTTCATCCTGGGTCCGCGGTAGAATCACTTTCCCATCCCCCGACTTTGCGGAAATCCTAGAATAAATAATAATTCAGATTATACACATATGAGTGACATTTAAGGACAACTCAGATATTCACAACTATCAGTGCAACATCCTTAGGAATTAGCTGCCTCAGGAGAAATAAGGGTTTCTACCAAGCTTTTACTTCGTAAGGTTCACGAGGTGTTTCCCAGCTTTGTCCTTCTTCTATAACCTGTTTAGTAATGGAAAGAAACAGTTAGAAACAATCATTTTACTTATTCCATCTAATACACTTAAGTTCAATATGCTATTACACTGATAACCAGCTTCGAATAAAAACACCAGATTGTGACGGAGACTCAGACAAACACACATACGCACACTTGCACATATTTTACCCATGCGTTCAAATAGGTTGATGTAGTGCAGGGTGGATAAAGTAAAAATATTCTTAATACCTTCTTTAGGACTCCAAGATCAGCAGTTATCACCTGAAAATTTAAAAAAACAACTGTTTGAGATACATCTTACCATCAATGAAACCACCAAAATTTCTTAAAAAGAGGATTAAAAAGGTAAGAATTCAAAGGTCCGCGAGAAAAGTTTTCGACAACTTTGGGAAATCTGGTACTGATCTGAAAAGGAAAGAAAATAACAACAAATGCATATATAAGAAACAAGATAAAAGGAAAGAACCCAAAATGATAGGAACTTCCTTCAGTTGGTAGCTGGCAGTTTTTTCTATGCTCCTTCAACCCTAGTCATTCTCCAAATTGAAAAAATATCAACAAATCTAAATAGTCAGCTATAGGTGTCCAAGCAGTCCATGCTTTGTATGTAAAGTGTACAACCCTAGTATTCATATTTTTTTAATGCCTCCGCCTTCTCTTCGTTCCTACATGTTTCTAATAAAAATAGGACAACCATCGTTGAGATACTTGAAGATATAGAATAGAAAACTAAGGGGCAAAATAGATGATATCAAGAGTTGCCATAGTCGGGAATAAACAGCAGTGCGTACAGCTCCAATAAGGCTATGAAGGCACCAACTCATATGAGCAATTACAAAGAGTAAAAGGGACTAGAGGGAACAGATTGGCCTTTCATTGTCATTAACATTATATAGGATTTACGAACATTCTTGCCTTGACTTTGGAGAATTCAATCAGCTCAATCTCAAAATGAAGCTCAGAATCCTTAGGAAAGTTATTTGGAACTGCAACTGGACAATCCTCCTCTCCATAGTGCATTTCAGGTTTCATTTTGAACTGAGATAACACGAGCCACAGTTAAAGTGAGCTAGGAATATGATTATTCATATCATCCATGCAAAGGTGTAAGAACAAAGGGAAAATGACTTCACAAGCTCATATTAAGGGGCATATATAAAGCAGGTTGAGTTGGCAACTACATTTAACTTATCTGAATGATCGGAGATTATTTTATCAACTTTATCTCCTTTAACGGTATCCAAAATATTACTTGAATAAAAAAAATGTATGCAAAATATTGGAGATGTATCATATTCTGAAGAGGTTATTAAACAAGTAAATTTAACCACTGCTATAGTGCTGTCAACAGAAAATTAAGGTTTGACTGATTCACTACATCTTGTTTGAGGAGATTAATTTACCATTGAAGTGTTTTGCACTTATACTTCTGTCCGGGTAGTATCACTAAATATTGGTTCTGTTTTTTTTTTTTTTTTTTTAG